CTAGCCCACCGCCCGCTCGGCTCGTGCGCGGGCGCGTTTTTTTACGAGCGCGAGCGGCTCGTGGGCGTGAACAGTACGAGCCGAGCGGGCGAGCCGACGAGCCGCTCGGCTCATTTGCCACCACTAATTTCTAGGTAATTTTCCCATGGCGAAATGTGCTGCCATGCCATGCCATGCCCCACCCTACCTCACATGGGAGAGGAACCTTGGCCCTGTCCCCATCCTGAAGTATCCCAACTTTTATTTTTTTTTTTTTATCATGTTTATGTGTTTAAACTTAAAATATATTTAAGACTAAAAATTAAATAAGTAAATAATGCTATAATGTGAATATTTTAATTATGTTCTGCTTTGACCAATTTTCATTCTTAGCACTTGTTTGAAACCTATTTTTATCATCAAAATACATTTTTCTACAGTGATTTGACCTCATTTCAACCACACATTTTTCAATAAAATAATATTACACACAAATCAAAAAATTTCCTTATTTTTTAACCACATTCTCGAATTCTCGATCATAACACTATTGCAAAATATATTTTTTGAAAAAAAAAATGGGGTTCAAACAACCCCTTAATTTGGAACCCATCTTGACCCCACTGTTCTAACCAAAAATCTGAAATATTAAAAATTAACTTGTTACCCACGTATGATTCACATGCATACCTTTAATTGTACCTAAAGGCAAACCCCGAATTTCTTCTAATTCCAAGACTCAAAGAAGCCCACAAATCCAAAACATGTGCTTCAATATTTGTTCTTTTGGTTATAGAAGCAGCAAAGGCAATTCATTTCCCACCCTATTTAAGGATAACACATCTGACATACTAGGTTGTCCTAACTTATCAGATCCCATTCTCTCTCTCTTGATTATTTGTGCTTGCATCCTTTGGCTCTTCTCCAATCCTGTCATAGTGCAGAAATTGGGAAGATAATGCCTTATGGTCCTATGTCTCTTATTTTCTTCTTCCTTTTTGAACTGTTTACTCATTAAGGATAATTTTCATAATGTGTTTGGTTTTTAAATCTTATATGTTAGTTCAAGAACTTCTTTTTAGCTCTGCTATCTTTATTCTTTCTTGTATGTAGATTTTTAGTATCGATTCGAGAATACGTGAGAATCTATATACACAGAAGAAAAGTATTGGCATACAAAAAGAATGGAGAAAAATATTGTTCATTATGGCGTTCAGCTCAGTATTACATGTCAAACAGTGCATTTAAGATGGAAGAATAGGAGAATTTGTATAGAGATTCTCAATAAATTTGTAATCAATACAAATTTAATTATACTTAAAACTTCGTAAAAAAATAAAAATTATCAAAATATTAAAATAGAAAAGTCTCAAAACTTAAACTCATAATTTAATGAAAAAGAATAAACCAAGCACAACAAAATCAATAATAAAAATAAAATTATAATAAACTACTTACTTTTGCACCTAAAATAAGTGTAAATTTGGTATGTGCGTTCTCTACCATAAAAAAAAAAAAATCTAAATGATGAATATTATTGCATCTGAAAATAGATCAACATAACATCTGTCATTACACGAACAAATCGTATTAATTTTTTTCAGAATTGTTAATAAAGAAAGCTAAGCCATTTGTCCTGTTGAAAAACATTTGATGCCGAATATATATACAGATCGAAGCATCATTAGGGAAATGAAAAGAATAATCTTACAAGGGTCATGCTGTTTAGTAAAGCTTTATCCTCGTCTCAATGGTCTTTCGGCAGATTGGGCACAACGAGAGGTCTTCTCCACATTCACAGCAAGTCTGTTTATCGGGAAAAAGAAAAGATAAAAAATGGATGACGTCGAGGAGATCTAACTAATATATATTCCCCAATAAGGAAATATCAAAATTCGCAAGGGTATACCTGGTGACCGCAGCCAAATGCCATATCCTTCTGATCTGTAATGCAGATGGGGCAAAGCTGCGAGAAAAATGAATAACGGGAAAATATAGTCAATATGGGCACTCAAAACTCAAAGTGACCTTTCTTCTTGCTCATAATTCTTAAAGAGACGAGAGTTACATGATTATCAGAAGTATCGGCTGCAGGCTGACTCCTGTGAGAAACTGAATCATGTCCACTAGAAGAAGGTGCACTTGGATAAAAATTGTTAGAACGGGGAGGCTTCGGTGTGACGAAAGAAGCTCCACCATATCTAGGAGGTGGAAGAGGAATCCTGTCTACAACCTTTCCTCTAGAAGCACTGAACAAGCAATTCAAGAACGGTAAGAAAATTGTTGCAAGAACTTCCCAGCACAGAGCACATTTAGCTAAGCTTAAAAAGTTTACTTAAAAGTAATTTAAAATAAATACTTTTTCCAGCTTAGCCAAATATGCATGGCATTATTTCAGGGTGGAAGATTTTACCCAAGTAGGTTGAGCTCAAGCGTTGCTTTATACTGAGTAGGTATTTCCATCAAGGCAGCAAGGGCAAACTCAGCTTCTTTCCTGGAAGTATCGATGTTCTTTGACATGATTTCTGTAAAGTTCACGAACTAGAAATACAAAGAAGAAATACATGATATAAGATAGCAAGATCTGTGTCAAAATGTAGTTCCATCTTTTGTTTTGAAACTTGGAGGAGGTGAACCTGCCTGGAAATTGTCAAAAGCTCGAGCAGGGATATTATCATCAAATTCTCTCATCATATCCCATGGTCCGTCGCCAACTCCAACTAAAATAATTGACAATGGATATTCACTGCAAATGAACAAAACTATTCAAAAATGGCTTAAGAAATCTAAATCAGCTCATGAATACACCATAAATATAATGTAAAGATTACCTTGCTTTCACAATTGCCTCAACAGTTCTCCTCTCCTGGGGACTTAACTGGCCATGCTCAGTGTCAACACTTCTCGTCACCTGAATATCAAATGAAATTTACAGATCATATGAGCATGTTTAGCTTAAAAAGTTCACTTAAAAGCAAATAAGCAAGTTTTCAATCTATTTCAATGATTAAAGTTGGAAAGCAACAAGTTAATTTTGATGGTAAGGTAAGATTTAAATTCAAGAACAATAACTTTTACTTGCAATGAAAAATTTAAGTTATCCAAACAAGTAAGGAGACGACGCTTCACATAAAAAGTAAAATTACTTTTTTTTCTTTCTCAAGCTTAGACACAAATTTACAAGCCAAGACATACAAATGCAAACTGAAATCTCTATCGATGACAAAAGGACATCAGCTGAAGAAAAGGTCGATATACACTCATAATTTCATCCAAGTCAGACGCGACTAACAAACTAATGCCAACTTGTCCATCAACAGTTACAAAAAATGAAAAAAAAGTAAGGATATGTTAAAAAAGAAGACTATAGTCAGCTAACAATTCCTTTTTTCGTTACTTTGATGGTATTAGCTACAGGATGTGTTAAGTAATGAGCGGGTCTGTCTAAGGATTTGTAAGGTGAAATTTGCAAATGTACAAGACACACATTCTTTCATAACATTGTTTCTTACAGTTAGCCAGCATTAATTTGTCTTTTTGTGACCCTTAAATGCTTTTTCAAATAGCAATGAACTAATCAGTACCTGTCCATCAGCTATGATCAGTAGAACATGGTACTGGCCGGAGTTTTGTTCAACAATAGTGATAGCCATTTCAATGACAGGAGCAAATGATGTTGGACCTGTAGAGACAGACATAAGGGGACAACGTATTGTGGCGGGCAATAAGGACCAATGAGAAAATTGAAAAATGCATGATTCGAAAAGGTGAACCTGCAAGACGTAATTGAGGGACTAATTCTCTGTATCGCCTCAATACTTCTTCAAAACCCTCACAAATCCTCTCGTCTGGATAAAAACTGAAGACTTCTTGGTCATGTGTTGAAGCTGTCAATATTAGAATCATATTATCACATAAGATCTCCAAGATCTTGATACACAAAGCTCGAAATAATCTAAATTTTTGAAAAGATACCATCTCCAAATCCAAAACAAGGAATTAAGTTATCTTCATCAAATTTGGATAGTGTTCTCCCAATAATTGATATTGCTTGTTCGTACGGATTTTGCCCATCCCCAATGTGATGTAAACTTCTCCTATGAAATGACCTTGCACCTAAAACCAAAGAGTACTTATGTGATCTGCAATATAACTCCTTTTTAACACATTTTTGGGCATACAAAAGGGAGCAAACCTGTCCACTCGTTGCTCTTGGTGAAATCAATACCAACAATCAAATTTGAAGATTCCAGTCCAGCATGTGCAAGGGCATCGGTTACCTATGGCAACAAAGAAGTTATATATTTGTATTGTTAGTTTAGATGGCCTGCATCATTACACTAGCAATAACGAGTCTATTCAACAGGACTGAAAAAATTAGTATATACTAGGCTAAATATGTCGGATAGCAGTTGCCTATATATTTTAAAAATGCACTTTACAATGGCAGACATACATAGTCTGTCAACCTCTTTCCATAGGTAAAACCGTGAACTCAGCGTATTGTGGATATCCACTAATAGACGCAAAAATGGCAGATTGCATGTTGCAGGTACAGAAACACATTTTAGGTGATACAATCATTCTCTCTTTAATGGCTCTATGACTTCGACTATTTCAAGAAGATGAAACCAATATTAAAAGCTAATTCATGTTTCATTTCAAAAAAGACATTGCACAACTGCAAACAAAATTGAGATGCCCACTGACCGAGTCTTCCAGCAGAAAATTACTTGAATGAAGTCAAATAGTCAACAAGTCTAATGCAAGTTTTTACACACAAAAATGGAATTATTCTGAGTGACTTCTTTTATCAAAATACAAAATCATTTTGACAAAAAAACTGTGTAATATTGACTGTAAGTGTAGAGTTAGCTTCTATGAAGGATCTTAAGAAATCAGAAAAATGGCCAAAGTATAAGCTGCAACTACGTATCACCTTAAAACTAGAAAATGGAGTTACTAAATTTGCAGCAAGATTTTGTTTTTGCACGTGAAACTTAAATGTTTAAATAATAGATAATTTCACTATATTAGAGAAAGCTTTGTATCCTCAATTCTAAATATTATGTCAACTCTGAATAAGATGCTCATTACCAGCAGATTGTATGACGTTAGAATTCCTTTACAATAAAGCCATAGGGTAAGGTTCTGCTGTTCAGCAGTGTGGCACCATTTTTACCTTGTATCATTTTATACAAGGACTTCTGAGCAAAGCTTTACCTGATCTAAGCTGCAGTAGTTGTCATCTATTCTTGAAAACTTTCTCTCCAGCTTTCTCTTATTTGACTGAGTGGGAGGACCTCCATAGGATTGATATGTAGATTGAGGCACATAATTGTGACTCGGCTGATCATATGTCGGCTGGGTATAGCCGTCATGGTTCCACGAATTTGAACTGGACCCATAAGACGAATAACGGCCTCGAATTGATTTTTTGGAAATCTTGTTACCCATGACTTATTGAACCTAAAAGAATTCTTCATTACTGAACATGAATTTTTTCTTAATATAAAGACATAATCATGCAAGTCAAAAGAAAGAACGAAAAAAGAAAAAAAGAATAATAAGATAGTTAAACACAACAATAAACCTTTTAAACAACAGAAATTCCAGTAGGTCAGAAATAATATAATTTCCCATCACTAATACAGAACATCCTCAATAGTAAGTACCAAGTCGAAATTCGTAGTTTGATTCTATAGTTATCTTTGATATTTTGGTAACCCTAAATGTGAGAATCTGAAAGTTTTTCCCATTTTCCTCCCACATGTAAGATGTAAAATAATATGTTGGACAATAAACTCTTAACTTTAAGTTGGTAAAAAGAATACATAAGCAGGATTATCTTAAAAGGTAGAGTCTTGAAGGAACAACAACAGGAGAATTTGTTCTAGGAAAGGAGATCTAATTTGGAATCTCCCAAATAAGGAAATAAATCATTCAACAATAAGATATCTAAAACAACTGGAAATGCTTTCTGTAATAATATTCAACATGACAACACTTTTACCGTTCCATCCAATAAATCCAATCAATATAAGAAAAGCTTCAAGGAGTGCAAACTGATGACTAAAGCATACAAGACTCGAAGTTCCAAAAAGACAAGGATTTCTTAATTTCATTGTCACTGCTACTTCCAAAGTATGTTAACATATAGCAAATTTGAGTTCGTATAGAAAAATACTTTGAACAGCCCTTTTTAGAACCAAAGAAACAGCCACAAATCATCAAATTACATATTTCGTATCGGATCTTTAATGACTCCAC